TTATGGTCTGAGAGTCCTACAGATGCCTTTTGGCAAATTCCAGGCAGGGAGTGTCTTCCGTCTGGCCGCTCTACCATACAGGCCTGATTGGTGGATTGCTGCACAGATGGTTGTCCTTCTGTAAGGTTCTCCTCTCTCCACAGAAGAATGCTGGACCTCAGACAGAGTGACCATCGGGTTATTGATCACCTCCCTTACTAAGGCCCTTCTCCCCTGATCACTTAATTTAGATGGCCGGCCAGCTCTAGCAAGAGTCCTGGTGGTTCCAAACATCTTCCACTGATGATGGAGGCCACTGTGCTCATTGGAACTTTCAGAGCAGCAGACATTTTTCAGTATCCTTCCCCAGCCTTGTGCCTCGAGACAATTCTGTCTCGGAGGTCTACAGACAATTCCTTTGTCTTCATGCTTGGTTTGTGCTTTGACATGCACTGTCAACCCTGGGACCTTATATCGACAGGTGTATGCCTTTTCAAATCATGTCCAATCAATTGAATTTACCACAGTTGAACTCCAATGAAGCTGCTGAAACATCTCAAGAATGATCAGTGGAAACAGAATGTACCTCAGCTCAATTCAGAGCTTCATGGAAAAGGCGGTGAATACTTATGCACATGTGATTTTTCAGATATTTTATTTTTAATAAATTTGCAACAATTTCAAAAACTCTTTTTTTACATTGACATTATGGGGTATTGTGTGTAGAATTTTAAGGAAAAAAAATAATTTAATAAATTTTGGATTCAGGCTGTAACATAAAACAATGTGGAAAAAGTGAAGCGCTATGAATACTTTCCGGATTTACTGCATATATCGATTTTTTATTGAAAAATGGTAAAGTTGAGTATTCAATATGTTAACTTGTTAAACTCAAAATCAAAAGAGCTAACTTTTTAAAACAGTACAGTTCTCTTCCCGATTCCTGCTTTCAGCAGTATCAAAATAAACACTAGAGAGTAATGCTAGAGTAATAATAGAGTAATGCTATTATTTTTTTTTTGCTCTGTGATTCACATTCTCAATCTGCATTGCATTAAGGTCACAGCTAAAGGAATCATGGGAGAATCAGTTGGCTGACACCATTTACTGACTTTCAGGGTCACAAGAGCAAAACATCTGAACTCTTCAACTGCACATAAGCCTCATATTATAGAAATCAAAATACTCTAAAAACTGAGCCTTTGTAAACATAATATGAAAACACTAGGCAAAGCCTGAACATGCTAGAGAAAGTACACAAACATGCAGCGGAAAACTGGGGGAAATCAGGACAGATTTCCTGCAGACACTGTGAAAGCCTGCCCTCCGTCTCTCTTTCACTGCCGCCTCATTCTTCAGCTCAAAACACATTAATTGGGGCTCAATTAATGCAGAAACTTCCAGGGCTTCATTCACTCTCCATTCAAAGCTAGCATCACTCACACGCATGCATACAAGCACACAGGAGCAAACACACAAGCACGCACATACAGTGCCCACAACATTAGGAATACAAGTTGCATAAGTAGGTGTGCACACACAGGAACATAAAAGCACACACATACATGTGCACACACATACACACAATAATACACATACAAGGGCATATTGAAACACATACAAATGCACACACAGGCAGACACTCACTCACATGAACAAACACAAACAGACAAAAACACACAAATTAACACACACACGTTTGTTTTTGTGAAAGGTGGGTACATTACATTGGTTTCCATTCATTTAATACCGATCAAACCTTATATTGTATTGCCCTCACCCTACCCTAAACCCAACCATCACAGGAGACAGTGAACAGCTTTACTCTCTGATTAAACTCATCCTGTGGAGTTTATAAGCTTTTTGAGAAATGAGGACGTCACCAATGTCCTCATATTTCACCTCCTTTTTGTAATACCCGTGTCATACCCATGTCATTATACAGACTTGTGTCCTGATATGTCACAAAAACACATACACACACACACATACACACACACACACATGTGCACAGTCTGCATAAACATACACATAAACACACACAGGATAAATAAAAACGCATTAAAACACACATGTACACACACGTATACACACACGTACGCACACACGTACACACACACACACACACACACACACATGCACACACACACACACACACACACACACACACACACACACACACACACACACACACACACACACACACACACACACACACACACACACACACACACACACACACACACACACACACACACACACACACACAGCACATTTGCACCATCTTTCCAGCTTGTCCTCCGGGGTTTGTGTGACTACAGCTTCACTCAAGGTCATTATGAGCAGTTATTTCCAGCACTCACTGCAACATTAACTGCAGCACAGATCCGTCAGAGACAGAACCACGGCTGGCACGTTTTGACGCAGTGAACGCTTTAAGTCAACATGAACTCAAAACAGACCTGGCTTATCTTCTTTTGTGCATAATTCATCAGAGCACGTTATTCAAGAGAAATGTTGAAAACGCATGCAGATTATGCTCAGAGTCAACTTTTGTTTTCTGCTGACTTCACCTACAGAATGCATGTGGGTTTCTGGATAATGCTAACCAAGAGCGAGACTATATATATAGATATTCATTCATTCATTCATTTTCTTTTCGGCTTAGTCCCTTTATTAATCTGGGCTCACCACAGCGGAATGAACCACCATACTTAGATATTGTTCATGTCAATTTGACTTAACAAGTAGTTATAGTAGAGTACTGTTCAAAGTTAAACAATAACTGCATTTTTGAACGATTAGGTTCACTGCAGAATAAATAAGCAGTCACACACACACACACACACACACACACACACACACACACACACACACACACACACACACACACACACACACACACACGTATACATGGTTTAGGGACTTTCCATAGGCGCAATGTATTTGACATCTTGGTCACAAGCCTCTTTAACTACATTGAAGCCTATTGACTCAATATATAAACAAGCAGTTAAAATTATGGACGTAAAGCCTATGCAATGGCATCACTGTGAAGTTTTATGTAAACATAACCATTTTAGTTTTGATAGTTTTATTAAATTGAATTATCTTCAATTGGTTTTTAAATGTTTAAATAATCATGTTCCAATCCTGTTTTCTGATCTAATAAGTAGGCATCAAACCTCTCACAAAGTTACACGGGCAACTGCAACTGCTGTGGAATGATTTACCTGTTAGCCAAAAATCAGAAACTAATACAAAATTTTTTAGTAGTGCTCTTGAAAAGTGGTTAAAAACAAAACAGTAGTGCTTGCACAAAATTTACTATTAGTTTGTTGGATCATGTCGCCTTTGCTTTTGCCTTCAGTGATTTTATGAAAGAATTATAATGTTGTGTATATGTATTTATTGTATTTCAATTTTGTCCATTTTGTCAAGCCTACTGTGGACAGGTGTTGAGAATTAGTAAGTTTGCTAAAACACTTCAACAAATGCATTTGGTTCTCCAGTATAATTGTGATGTTCATGTCAAATAAATAAATAAATACAAATTAATTTCATACATATAATAAACTGCTTATTATATGGCCCTGTCTCTAAACCCAACCCTCACAAAAAACGTGGCAAATTTAGGATTTCAAAACACTTCGTTAAGTATGATTTTGAAGTATTTTGAATTACAGGGACAAAAGGACCACCTTAATAAAGTACAACTAAGTCAAACCCATATCATTATACAACTTTTATTACATCAATATTATATTATTACATTATATCAATATCTGTTAATTAACAGTTTCCGTATTTCCTGATTAACAAGTGTTTTCTGTTTATTTACCGTTAGTATTTGCATTATGGGATGTTGAGCTCTGCTCTGTCAACTTTTGATGTTAAAAATTCAACTCTTCAGTTTAAACAAGTGACTTTTATTGACATTGTAGTAGTTTAAAATAATAAAAGAAATAATATACAGAGAAATAAGTCTGTAAAACAACAGAAAATGTACTGGCAGTTTAATACTGCTGTGATCGCCGACGAACTGGCAGTTGCAGATTACTAGAGAATTGCTAGTCACAGTAATGAACTGCAACTCCCAGCATGCACCTCACACACCGGTTCCTGTTTCCCACTAATTACACTCACACAGCTGGTAACTCATCACAGACTGATTAGCTGGACTTTATATTTACCCCTTACACACACACACACACACACACACACACACACACACACACACACACACACACACACACACACACACACACACACACACACACACACATTATGGAGTTTTGTTTTGCCTAGCGAAAAGTACGAAGCGTTTTCCTGTTTGTCTTGCCGTGTTTTGATCCTTGTCTTTTTTTATTCTTTGCCTCCTAGCCTGACCATTTGTCTGTATTTGGCCCACGTATTTTGGATTATCTTTATGCTACCGTTTGCCTCTGTTTTTTCACCATTGCCTGCACAACTTCTCTTTAAATAAACTGCATGTGGATCTTCACGTCCGCTGTCCAGTGACCTTTGTTACAATTAAAAGGATTTTGTATTGTAAAATACAACACCAACCCAGACAAAATATCACTTTAAACGATTAAATATGTTCATAAAAGTCCCTTTTTTAAACATTTCAAGGTCAAAAGTTGTTGGAAGAGAGATCAATGTCCCATAATGCAATTCAAAAGCATAAATAAATAGGAAAAAATAAAACAATGAAGCACAAAATACAAAAAAATGCTTATTTATGGATGCTCTTTTTATGGTGTAGCTAAAGCATAAAGTGCAATTCTCTTCCAGTACATCTTTTTTTCATGACCAGTTTGTCCTAATTCAATTCATACAAAGAATATTGCCATGGGCAGCAGATAGTCATCATTTTTTTTAATAAATAAAACACAGAAATTGAACTCATTTTCTGATCAAATGACAGATAGAGACATATTCTGATATAAAGTAAAGTGGCTGGACTTGAATGAGTCTGCAAGTGCAGTGTTCAGCTAAAGTAATTCAGTTGTGTTTACCTTTGGCCTGAGCTGCTGCAGGTTTGGCTTTATCGCTGAACACCAGACTGCGGCGATTCCCTGCTGAACTGATGGACCCTCGAGGAGAGCTCTCACTGCCCGCAGTGGACATCCTCGAGGTCGGCCCAGGCAATCTGTGACAGAAAGGCGAACATAGTATTAATGGCAGTATCTTTGAAGAATAACTGTGTGCTTGATATCATGCTAAGGTGCTATTTATGTGTGCTGTGTTTTAGGTGCTGCTGCTGTACTGTATGTAGATGTTAGAGTGTTTTATTACCTATCCAGAGTGGTCGCTTAATGCCTTAAAATGGATAGTTCACGCAAAATTGGGAACATACTCAATATTTACTCATCCTCAAGTGGTTCCAAAGCTTGATGAGTTTCTTGAACACTAAAGAAGCTAAAGCTGTATCTATTGATTTCCATTGTGAAAAAACAAACACTATGGAAGTAAATGGTTAGAGCTTTCCAACATTCTTTAAAATACCTTCTTTGAGTTTTACAGAAGAAAGAAAATCTCAAAGCTTTGGAAGTACTTGATGGTGAGTAAATATTAAGTACTTCTACATTAAGTACTTTTAAAATGAAGAAAGACATTCATAAAGGTTTGAAACAAGTAAAGGGTGAGTAATTGATGATAGAATTTTCACTTTTTGGTGAACTGTCACTTTAAGATATATATATAACAGTTATGTCTGGTTTTTGAATCTGACTGGCTGGTAGCCGTGCAATAATTTTCCAGTAATAATTTTCCTCTTCACACTTAACCCTTGTGAATTACTCCGCCCACATACAGCAACAAGCAGAGGACACTCTACAGTTTGACAACATTTTTAAAGCTTTTTTAGTTGAGAATGTAGTTGTTTAGATTGCAACTATGCAGTTTATTTAGAAGATAGTGGTTATTTTAAAATATTTATAATTTCTGACAGACAGTGCGTCGACGGCCATTAGTCTGTTAGTCTGTCATACCGAGCAAAGACGGTTGACATTTTCCATCCACAAGATGGTGACAGAAACCGCATAATAAGCCCTTAGAAGAATAAAACAGCGTAATTTCATACTACAGCTGAACAACTACATTCTCGACTAAACAAGCCATTAGCTGCAATATTTGTCAAACTGTAGTGAGTTTATTGATCTGCTGTCACTCTATGTGGGAGGAGTAATACACAAAGGTGAAGAGGCTGTGTGTGTGTGTGTGTGTGTGTGTGTGTGTGTATATAAAACACTACCCTAAAATAAACAAACAATAAACTGATGAATTTTGTCAGATCATTTACACAACAACAATGTTTGCTGTATATGTTACGATATTTTGCTAACCTTCCCATCAAGTAATGAAATGAATGTTAAGCAAGCGACAAGCAATCATTCTACATAATGATTCTCCATACATTATGGGAATGTTACTTCAGAATGTTAACATTCTGAAATAGGAAATGTTTTTTTTTAATGTTAGCGGGGTGTTCAGCTAAGGGCTGCATTTACAGTATAGCAAATTACCAAACAGAAACATTTCCTTTTTAAAAGCATTTTCTTATTTTTAAAAACTTTCATATACCAATGTAAAAAAAAATCTGCAAAAACAACTATTTTTTTAGCAAATTATTTTATGGTACATTTCTCACTATAAAAAAAAACATTAACTATTATTTTAGCTAAAAAAACGAATTAGCTGCTTATTAATATTAAGGTAGTTGGGTTTAGGTATTAGGCAGTATTAGAGATGTAGAATAAGAACAATACTCCATAAGCACTAATCAACAGACAATATCTTAATAATAGGCAGATGATAAGCTAGTTAATAGTGAGAATTGGTACTTTAACTAAATTTCGATTTAATAATAAGAAACATACTGCTTAATAAATTGATAAAAGCTATGATATGCTATGATTACATTATGTTTCAATAAATACCGAGGAATCCACATACGTGATGGACATTTGTCATTATAATATGGCATTTCTCCATCGTTCCAATCTTTAAAGGTGATTGACAGACAGACTAATCTCCCTAAACAATCAGTCTAGGTAAATGCCACGTCAGTGTCATGTATAATACAGTAACATCTGTCATGACCTATGCTAATCACATTGCTGTCACACATTCCCTCAAGAAAATGTAAAATAGGTTACCCTGTTTATTTTTAGTTGTTTTTTTTCAACTAAAATACATCTCAGACCTGAGAAAGACTTATGTGCAGTTACACTTATCAAACAATAGGTGGCAACATTGCGCCGCGTGTCGCAAAATAAATAAATAAACAGCGGATTATTAGACTTGGCCAATTTTCAAAACGAGAATTTTAAATCAGGTGGCCGAGAGTATTTTTAGAGTAGTTATTTCAAGCCTATTACACAAGTGAGTGCAATGCATTTGCAGCAGGTGACCGAGGGCACGACCGCATCATTCATTCAAAGCAAAATTACAACCTCAAGCTTTCTGTCACACTCCATAGTTAATAATTAATCTGCTACTCCAACAGGCATCACACAGAGTGGGTTATTTTAAAGTTAGCACAGCTCACTGAGCAGACATCTCCGCTGGGACGTGTTTTTGGGTAACGTCTCCTGACAGAGTCCACCTATTCTGTCTAGACCAATATTTTCAAAGAAAGCTTCGCCAGAATGGGTCAGTTTGTGATTTATGAATTATACAGTTGTTTGTAATTCTTTATTAGATGCAAAAATGGTTATATATATTCATAAATAGCTGTGGCCACAGTTAAATAGCTATATTACATTTTAGAACACTTGTTCAAGTGCATAAAAATCACGTGTTTGATCAAAATGAATATTGTTTAATATAGTCACAGTTATTTATAAGACAGTAAAATAAGGTGTTTATGATGCAAGGATGAGTACTTTAGAATTCATAATAATGCATCATAATAAAATATACTTATACACTCACCGGCCACTTTATTAGGTACACCTGTCTAACAGCTCGCTAACACAAATAGAAGATTGGAAAAACGTAGCCTGGTCTGACGAGTCTCGATTTCTGCTGCGACATTCGGCTAGTAGGGTCAGAATTTGATGTCAACAATATGAAGCATGGATCCATCCCGCCTTGTATCAACTGTTCAGTCCACAGTCACCAGCTCTCAATCCAATAGAGCACCTTTGAGGTGTGGTGGAACGGGATATTCATATCATGGGTGTGCAGCCCACACACCTGCAGACACTGCTTGATGCTATCATGTCAATATGGACTAAAATCTCTGAGGAATATGTCCAGTACCTTCTTAAATCTATGCCACAAAGGATTACGGCAGTTCTGAAGGAAAAAGGGGATTCAACCCGGTAGTAGTAAGGTGTACCTAATAAAGTGGCCAGTGAGTGTATATGCATATAATAATTGAGTATTAATGCTGGTCAATGCTTGTAAATAAGACATTGTAAGGCAGTTGTAATATTTGTGTTAGTTTCACAGAAACATAGGTAGAGTTAGAGCATCATGCAGATATTGAGTGAGGAAGAGGAGGGTGATGACAAGCAGGTTGACTGTAGGGAGAAAATACACGAGAGAGAAAGCGCTACCTAGAAGACTTTTTCTGACCAATGGAAAACTTGAGTTTACTCTGAGAGCCATCCCTAGATCAGAAGAAGAAGCAAAACAAGAGAAGAGAGAGAGATAGAGATAAAGAGAATGAGAGAGAGCAGGACATACACTGACAGTGATGATGACTAACACAACAACACAAACTAAGACAATGAACACATAAATTCCCATTAAACTACAGAGAAAGTTTACAATGTTCAGTAGATGGATAAATAGATCCATAGAACAATGGATGGATGGATGGGATTGAATGAATTAGATGGATAGATAGATAGATAGATAGATAGATAGATAGATAGATAGATAGATAGATAGATAGATAGATAGATAGATAGATAGATAGATAGATAGATAGATAGATAGATAGATAGATAGATAGATAGATAGATAGATAGATAGATAGATAGATAGATAGATAGATAGATAGATAGATAGAATGGATGAGATTGGATGGATGGATGTGTTTGAATGGATGGGATAGATTGATAGAATTAATAGATGGATGGATGGATGGATGGATGGATGGATGTGATAGGTGCATGGATAGATGAATTGAATTAAATACATGGGATTGATGGATGGATAAGATCGAATAAATGAATGAATGAATGGATGCATGGACGGATAAATGGGATGGATGGATGAGATAGATGGATGGGATTGGATAGATGCATGGATGAATCAAATTAGGTGGACGGATGGAAATAATGGATGAACGAATGAGAATGATGCATGGATGGATGGATGGGATTGTATGGATGGATGGATGGATGGATGGATGGATGAGATTAGGTAGATAGATAGATAGATAGATAGATAGATAGATAGATAGATAGATAGATAGATAGATAGATAGATAGATAGATAGATAGATAGATAGATAGATAGATAGATAGATAGATAGATAGATAGATAGATAGATGTGATTGAATGGATGATTGACGGATGGATTGGTTGAACAGAACAATACATAACAGAACGTCAGATAGAAAGCTGGAATGATAGAGAGACTGACAGTTTGCTAAACAGAAAGCAGGACTGATAGAGTGATGTTTTACCTGGACTGCATGTCTGTCTGTGTTTTGTGTGAGTGTGGCCCATGCGGGGTGGAGATCAGCTGGGCCGGAGCGCTGCTCTGCTGGATTAGAGGAGTGTGTGAGTGTGTGTGCTGTGTGTGTGTCTGTCGGCTCGTTTGTTGCTGCTGCTTGTATCGAGACAGGCTAAAGAAAAGCCCCAAGATGGCTTTCAGATTCCCATTCCGGATCTCTGTGAGGAACAGACAAGAGGTCACTGTTTAGTAGAGTAAAATTGCACGTATTTATTTTGTCTTTGCCATGATTACAGTACATAATATCTTACAAGTTATTTTGCAAGACACCAAAATACAGCTTAAAGGACAATTAAAAGCTTAACTAGGTTAATTAGGTTAACTAATTCAGTTTAATTAGGCAAGTCTTTAAACAAGTCTTTGGTTTGTTCTGTATACAATCATCAAAATGAATAATAATAATTTCTTAACGGGGAGTAATTATATTGTTAAAAACTTTTTTTTTAATAAAACAGTTTTTATTGCAGCCAAACTAAAGGAAACAAGACTACGCTTTTCCGGAAGAAAACATAATACTTGCTTTACTTATTAAAACACCTATCACTCATTCATTCATTCATTCACTCAATTTCCTTCACCTTAGTCCCTTTATTCATCAGGGGTCGCCACAGCAGAATGAACCACCAACTTATCCAGCATATGTTTTACACAGCGAATGCCTTTCCAGCTGCAACCCAGTACTGGGAAACATCCATACACACTCATTCACACACACACACACACAATACGGCCAGTTTAGTTTATTCAATTCACCTATACCCACATGCCTTTGGAATGTGGGGGAAACTGGAGCACCCAGAGGAAACCTTCATACACTCACCGGCCACTTTATTAGGTACACCTGTCCAACTGCTCATTAACCAAATTTCTAATCAGCCAATCACATGACAGCAACTCAATGCATTTAGGCATGTAGACATGGTCTATATGATCTGCTGCAGTTCAAACCGAGCATTAGAATGGAGAAGAAAGGTGATTTAAGTGACTTTGAACATGACATGGTTGTTGGTGCCAGACAGACTGGTCTGAGTATTTCAGAAACTGCTGATCTACATATCTTGTTCAAGCAGATAGAAAGCATCAGTAACTCAAATAACCACTCATTACAACCGTGGTATGCAGATGTGCATCTCTGAATGCACAACACGTCCAACCTTGAGGCAGATGGACTACAGCAGCAGAAAACCACACCAGGTGCCACTCCTGTCAGCTAAGAACAGGAAACTCAGAATTAAGTGTCAACACCATGAAAGCTTGGATCCATCCTGCCTTTTATCAACGATTCAGGCTGGTGTTGGTGGTGTAATAGTGTGGGGAATATTTTCTTGGCACGCTTTGAGCCCATTAGTACCAAGTGAGCATTGTGTCAATGCCACAGGCTACCTTAGTATTGTTGCTGACCATGTCCATCCCTTTATGACCACAGTATACTCATCTTCTGAAGGCTACTTTCAGCAGGATAACATGCCATGTCATGAAGCTCGAATCATTTCAGACTGGTTTCTTAAACATGACAATGAGTTCACTGTACTCAAATGGCCTCCACAGTCACCAGATCTCAATCCATTAGAGCAATTTCAGGATGTGGTGGAAAGGCAGATTCACATCATGGATGTGCAGCCGATAAATCTGCAGCAACTGCGTGATGCTATTATATCAATATGGAACAAAATCTCTGAGGAATAATTCCAGTACCTTGTTGAATATATGCAAAGAATAATTAAGACATTTCTGAGGGTAAAAAGGGGTCCAACCCGGTACTAGTAAGGTGTACTTAATAAAGTGGCCGGTAAATGTATTACTAAATAGTTAATACATTTTACTTATGTTAAACCTTTTTTTTTTTTTTTTTAGATAGATTTGTTGGTTGTACAGATTGGGTAGCTTTACATGGACAAAGTAACATTAATTTGTTTAAAAGCATTTAAGACCTAAAACAGCATATTTCAGTGAATGTAAGACTTTTTAAGATTTTTCATACTGTCCTTAAATACATTTTTTTAAATTTAAGACAGTTTAAGACCCAGAGGACACCCTGCTATAGTACAGAATAGGTGAGAAGATGTAGTCATTATGTCATAGTTGACACATTATAACCTAGAGCAGTGGTTCTCAAAGTGGGGGTCGGGACCCCCCGAGGGGTCGCGGGGCAATGAAGAGGGGTCGCCTGGTGATTTCCAAAAATCTATTTATTTTTATTAAACCATAAGAATTAACATATTTTATCCATAACTATACTGAAAATAAAAATAGTCGTTTATAGTTACTATATACTATATAGTTACTATAGTAGCTTATAGTTACTAGTTCTATTGGATTGCGACCCCGGGGGTAATTACATTATATTAAAGGCAGCAATAGCGTCAGATGCATTTTGATTTTATAACATCAGGTTATACTTTCTGGCACATTTAAAGCACTGACACAAATTTAATTGGTGTGTCTGCGTCATTGCATGCAAGGTTTCTGTATTTATAACCACCTCAGAGGATATTGGGGGTCGCGAGTCACTGGCATTGTTATTTTGGGGGTCGCAGGCTGAAAAGTTTGGGAACCCCTGACCTAGAGTGTTAACAATAATAGAAAAATAGTGTATTTAAACCTGTATTTAGCACAGTATCTGTCTCGAGTCAGTCGAAATGAAATCTAAAATTAATAAAATATTTTGAAGTGTTTTTACCTTCAGCTGATAGTCCCTGTATGTTCACACCTTTGGCTGCTAGAAAGCTCAAACAGGCATCAATGTTCTCAATCTGGAGAGAAAAGGACAGAAATGAAGCCAATAAGCACTGTAGAAATCACAGATATATGAACAGAAATCAGTCACTATCACCTAAATAAAACAGGTGTTTAATGAGGCAATGCAGACACTATTAAGACTGCCTGGCACCTGCAATATTTCTGAATGAACGCGTGACTGGACATTCCCTCTCTAGTACTCTAGTGCTGTCAGAGAGCATAGATTGGCTGCTCAATCAAAGCAGTATGCAAAGCCTTTGCTGCCAATCGCTGAGGGCGTCAAATTTGCTCTGTTGCTAGGAAACCTTGTTGAGGGCACGACACTGACCCGGCCATATACCAGAGTCACTCAGTTCAGTGCTGGAGGATTTCTGATTGGCTGAGGGGAGGGTGATGTCATAGGCTGCACGTGAAGGTCATGTGGGTGCTACTAGGATATGTTTATTATATTTAGCATGTTTACCATGTGTTATATTTACATTACTAGGGTTGATGTCATGCATAATATCATGGCTGTATGTGTTCTGTTTGTGCAGCTAATGATGTATTTTATGGTATTCATACTGTATATTGCCATTGAATGAAAAAAAATCCTCTTTTATTTCTATATGGGCAATAATCACCTTACTAGTAAGCTGTACATAAATACACTATAATAGTTTTTCATAATAGTTCATTCATTCGGCTCAGTCCCTTTATTAATCTGGGGTCGCCACAGCGGAATTAACTGCCAACTTATCCAGCAAGTTTTTACGCAGCGGATGCCCTTTCAGCCGCAAACCATCTCACAGAAGCTGCAAACCGCAAACTCCACACAGAAACGCCACACAGAAACGTTAACTGAGCCGAGGCTCAAACCAGCGACCCAGCAACCTTCTTGCTGTGAGGCGACAGCCCTACTGCGCCACTGCTTCACCTTCATAATAGTCCTTTAAAAATATAAAAAATAAATAAAATAAATAAAAAGTTCTCACAAAATATTCTGGTCTTTTAAATCCTGAAAGTTTATTTTAGAGTGAGCCCATGTCAAATCTGTCCTAATAGCTATCATTAATCATAAATATCATCAGCTTATGAATGAACGATAAAACAGATGATCGACAAATTTAAACAGAGAATGACATCTGTACAGTTTACTCAAACTAAATTGACAAAATGTTTAAAAAGTTTAATTAATTTTAAACTCAGTAAAAAAAAGTTTCATCCAACAAAGCATCGCCTGGTTTGATATATTGTGCAATAATTAAAGGACATTAACATGTTATAGCTTTAACACGCAGATAAAGCAATGTAAAAACAATAATAATAAACAATATAATTAATATTTATTCTGGGAGACTTGAGACACTTAAAATGTATAACAATGTAACAACACCACCAACAACAGCAAAAACTATTATTATTATTATTATTATTATTATTTTTATTATTATTGTTGTTGTTGTTGTTGTTGTTGTTGTTGTTATTGTTGTTGTTATTAATAATAATAATGACAATTATAATATCAACAACAACAATTTATTTCACACTTTTTAAAGCGTATTAAATGCTGAAGTGTAAAATAACAAACAATAAATAAATGAATAAATAATAATAAACAATAGTATTATTATTTATTCTGGGTCACATGAGACACTTAGTGCATAACAATGTAACAACAACAACAGCAAAAACAACAATATAATAATAATAACAATGATGAGGATTATGATGATGATGATGATAATAATAATAATAATATTGATAATAATAATAATAACAACAACAACAATTTGTTGCACATTTTTAAAAGTTTCTCAAAAGCTGAAGAGTAAAATAACAAATAAAAATAAATAAATAAATAAATAAACAAATAATAATAATAACAATAATATTATTATTTATTTTGTTAGTTATTACGCTTGAGACATATAAAAATGTATAATAATAATAATTTTATTATTATTATTATTATTATTATTATTATTATTATTATGTTGTTGTTGTTGGTGGTGGTGGTGGTGGTACTGTTACACTTGAGACACTTTACAAATGTATAACATTAATAATAACGACAACAACAACAACAATAATTAAAAAATAATTATTGCACATTTTTAAACTGTCTCAAGTGCTTAAGTGTAAAATTACGAAAATAAATATATAATAATAATTATAGTAATAAACAATGATATTACTTATTTAGATACAGTATTACACTTGAGACACTTTTGAAAAGGTATAATAATTATAATAACAATAATATTAATAAAAAATAATAACAAAAATCATAGTAGCAACAAATTATTACACAATTTTAAAAGCTGAAGTGGAATAACAAAACAATAATAATAATTAATAATAATAATAATAATAATAATAATAATAATTATTATTATTATTATTATTATTATTATTATTATTAGTAGTAGTAGTAGTAGTAGAAGTATTAGTGTTATTATTGTGTTGTTTTGTTGTAGTTATTACAATTGAGACACTTTAAACTATATATTAATAATGATAATAATAATAATAATAATAATAATAATAATAATAATAATAATAATAATAATAATAATAATAATAATAACAACAAAATATTACACAATATTAAAAGTGGCTGAAGTGGAATAACAAAACAACAATAATAACAATAATAATTATTATTATTATTATTATTATTATTATTATTTATTTTATTTTTCTTAAAGCAGCTCAAGTGCTCTACCAATTTTTGGGACCACAGTTTAATAAATAGAGCATCGGACTGATTTATTACTCATGTTATGCATGAAAGAGCTGGTCATCTGCCATGGGTTAGTCAGCAGCAGTGTCAGTAATGTCAGCCACAGACTCACTGACTAAACCCCAGTTGCTGCCAGCCAACAGTTGCTGGTCTGAAGGGTCAAGGGGAGATCTCGAAATGTGAGGAAAGAATCTGCTCTAGATTCTTCTGACCCTTTGAAGGAAACCACATCCCAGACATCCAGGACTAAAAATAACCTTTCTAAATAAAAATAACTCACAGAGAGGCACTGAAATCAATCTTGATCCTCTTTCTCTCACTGTGAATTGAATTGCAAGGGAATAATGTCAATATGAATGCATTAAAATATGGGAGAAGGGGACAATTTAATATTGCATTCACTGATTGTTGTCTTAAGGTCATGCATGACAGCAAACACCACTGTGAATGACATACTCATTACAGCTGCATTACAAACTCAACAGGTCAATAGAAATCAGAACCTACTGGAATAAAAGCAAACAAGTGATCATAGAGACATAAAGAGCACTACGTCAAAACCAAACTCACTACTTGTATCTATGCTTCCACAGCCACATACATTTACTGGGGAAAAACATGAATGATGAAGATTTATGTTTGTAATAATTAAAATGATTTAATAGTCCTAATATTTAAGTTAATCTAAATAATACATCAATCTTAACATTTATAATTGTCCTTAATATTAAATAATTTTGATTAAAAATAATATTTAAAAAATTACTACTACTATTGCTTATAATAATAACAACGATTATTGTATTGCTTATATTGTTACAGCAATTAATTTATTAATTTATAAAATTACTATTTATTTTAATGAAGTGTTTTTATTTATTAATAATATTTCAAATAAATTTCAAAAAGATTTTATAATAATATAAAAAAGTAATACATAAAGAATACAATATAATAAAATAAATAAAAATAAATAAATAAAATAATAAAATAATCAAATTAATTGAAATAAAGTTAATTAAAATTTAAAAATAATGGTGCTTCAGTAAGTAAATTTTATTTTATAAAAATACATTTAAATAAAAAATTCTTATAGTTGGAAGTCAGAATTATTAGCTCCCCTTTGTTTTGTTTTTTATATTTCCCAAATGATGTTTAATAGACCAAGGAAATTTTCCCAGTACGTCTGATAATATTTTTTCTTAAATAAAATAAAATAAAATAAAATAAAATAAAATAAAATAAAATAAAATAAAATAAAATAAAATAAAATAAAATAAAATAAAATAAAATAAAATAAAATAAAAATAAAATAAAATAAAATAAAATTGAATTAAATTAAATCATAATGGTGTTTAAGTAAGTCAATTTTATTTAACAAAAAATACATTTAAATAAAAATTTCTTTAAAAAATTCAAAACTTAAAAATATTAATTTACTCATTTTCTTTTCAGCTTAGTCCCTTTATTAATCATGTGTTGCCACAGGATGCCCTTTCAGCCGCACGTCAACACTGAAAACATTCTCATTCACACACATACACTATGGACAATTTAGCCAACCCATTTCACCAATAGCGCATGTCATTGGACTTATGGAGGAAACGGGAGCAGCCAGAGGAAACACGCCACGCCACACCAACAGGAGAGAACATGCAAACTCCACACAGAAATGCCAACTGACCCAGCCGAGGCTCGAACCAGCGACCTTCTTTGCTGTGAGGCATAAACATACAGTCTTGAAACCATAATAAAAACATTACAAACACAACAACTCAGCATTCTTTCCACAACAGAAAAATCATTAATCACATTTGAAAATCATACTGTCAATTCTTCCATATAATGACCATACACATCTCTATGGGTGTAAATTTTACATAACCCTTTTCAGATACACCACTACAAAACCATTATGTTCTCATCTAACTCTTTCTATTCCAAAAGAATCCCTTCAGAAAATCAATCCAGCAAGTTTAAGGAAACAAGAGACCCGTACCTGAACACAGGGCTTTTGTTTGCTTCTCATATCACTGAATGTCACCTGTGAGAGACTGCAGGAGTCAATCTATTTAACACGACAGCACAGAAACGCCTGCTTAACAAACACACACACACACACACACACACACACACACACACACACACACACACACACACACACACACACACACACACACACACACACACACACACACACACACACACACACACACACACACACACACACACACACACACTATTGTCTGTCTCAAGCACATAAACATGCTTAAACATACGCATGTGAAC